AATTCTCTTGTGATTTCTCTTCTGCTTTTCCACCGTGTACAGAAGGTTGTACTTCTTTTATCGGTGATAAAACATTCGCTCCTCCTTGATGTGTTTGCTCTTGATTCTGCTCTTTATCGTGATTGTGACCCTGCACTGTTAGACTGTCAGCAGAATTGGTTCTTGTAGTTGAAGCAGCAGCAAGTTGTTGTTGTTCTTTTTCTCTTTGACCAGCAACATTTAAATTGTCCTGAGTATTGTCTTGACGATGCACAACCCCAGCATCAACCATTGCTTGAGGAACAGGAATTCTATCCTCACCACCCTCTCTTCTCCCATTCTGAAGCGAAGTATTAAGAGTACTAGACTCAGAAGTAAGAAGAGTACCAGGAGGACGTCCAGGAGTTTCAGGGGGGCACTTAGAACCATCAACACAATTCTGATGAAGAAGAATCTTTGTCTCACTCTCCGTATCAGGGACTTGGTCGGNTTGCTGAGTGTGATCACCAATTTCACCAGGTCCCTTACCGGGGCCTTCAGGGAGAGGTGTTTTTTCTTTTAGCGTACAGGCATCACCAGAATCGTTACGGCAATTCTCGTCAGTGTCACCATCATTGTTAGGGCAACTCTTCTTCTCAGAAGATGTCACACAATCATCAGTACGAGCAGCTTCATGTTCACTACCGGTAGTAGAGCAAGGAGGATCAACATTACCTTGAGTACAATCTTTACCACCAGAAACAGATAGAGGTGGTGTTGGACCTGGATGAGTACCAACAGGAAGTGGTGCCGGTGGTGGAATAGCATCAGGAGCACCAGGACGCGGTTCAGGAGATGGTTCACCATTCTCATTTTGCGGATTAAGGTCATGTAATTGGCCAGGTAAACTGGGTAGTTGTGATGAATCTGGATGTGCACCTGACAGCGCAGACGTTGCTTTTGGATTTTCTTTGGCTGCTTTAAGTGTTGCGGCATCGGCATACGGTAGTACGTTATGCAGCAATCGTTCAGCAACTGGGTCATCCGGAGTACCGATATGAGCCATCACTGCCTTTGGTTGTCCAGCATTAGCAGTAGTA